TTTAATATTAAGATCTTTGTTTCTTTTTTTTTGGTACCGGGCACCGAACTCCCCAACCTTGTGCCCACTAGGCAAGCACTTGAGCTCCTGAGCTAAATCCCTGCGTCCCTGAATCCCTGGCCAGTTTGAAGATCTCTGTCCACTCTGACTTGAGCTCAGTACATGGTGAATGGTGCGGGCCCAGTTTTATCTTGGGCACTCGCAGAGCCAGGTTTTCCAGCGCCGTGATTACAGAGGCCACTTCTCCTCCAGTGAGCGTGTTTGACGCCTGGGTCACAGATAAGGCGGCTGAGTGTGTCTACAGTTGTTTCTGCCTCTTCTGGTCTGTTCCATTGGTCTTCGGGTCTGGTTTTTTTGCCAGTGCCACAGCATGTGTGTGTGTGCCCACGTGTGGCCCGAGGGATTGAACCCAGAGCTTTGTGCATGCTCGGCAAGCGCCCTGCACTGAGCTGCGCCCCAGCCTCACCACGCTGTGTTTATCACAGTAGCTTTGTAGTATAATTTGAAGTCGGGGACTGGATGCCCAGAGGGAGCTGACAGGGAGCTCAGCGCTGTCCTGTGTGCGCTCCTGCTCGGCAGCTGGTGCACAGTCGGGCCCGGCCCCGAGCTGCAGGGATGGCAGGCCTGGGCCCTCCCCAAGGCTCGGCTCCGACCCCAGTCCTGATGGGGCCTGTGTCACCCTGCGGATGCCCAGCGGACATGAGGCCCGGCTCCCGGGGCCTGCAGACCCGTGTCCTGGTCCTTGGGGCCTTTCCACGCCTGCGGCTGGGGCGCAGCCCGGCTTGGAGATGGGCCTCCAGGGCCTCTGCAGACGCTGGGCAGCGAGCTGGAACTGCCTTGTCCTGGGCTTTGTGTCTGAGGGCTGCCGCCACCTGCCTGCCACGCAGGCCCCATGGCCTCCTGTGCTGGGGGTGGGTGGCCTCCTGCCAGGGCTGCCGCTGGGCATGGGGGCCCGGCACCCCCCAGGGACACGTGTGGCTCTGCCTCCGCCCTCCTCATTCCTCACACTGCCCCCCGAGCCGCCCTGCCCGCCTTAGCTCCATGGGCACCGCGAAACGAGCTCTGTCCCCTCCAGCAGGCCCAGGCCGCTGCCATTTCCAGCAGGGCTGCACGCACAGGCTGCTCCTCGCACCCGAACTTACAGAGGGGACGAGGCCGTGGTGCTGTCACCACCGCCGCCTGATCACTGCAGCCGGGGCCACAGCTGCGGTCAGCGCGTGGCGTGGGTGGGGCCTGTGGACGTGGTTCCCATCCCGGTGACCGAGACGGTCCCCACAGGGGCCGAGGGGGCACAGGAGGATGGGCAGCTGGGCCTTCAGAGCCCAGACATGACCCCCAGAGCCTCACAGCCTTGGAGCGGGAGGGTGCGGGTCAGCCGTGGCCCCGTCACCGTGGCAGGGCCCCCCGGGGTGACGTCCTCCGTGTCCCCTTCCCAAGCGCTCACCCTGCAGCAGGGCTCAGCGCCTCTGGCTGGCCCGTCTGTCCCTGGGAGGCAGCGCTGCCCTGCCACAGCAGAGCCCAGCTCGGGGCGCAGCAGCCCGGAGGGCCCGGCGGCCACTGGGCAGAGCCTCTTGGAGGCCGTGGGGTGGCGGCGCCGGGAGCCCCGCCCATCGCTGCCCTGCGGTGACTGCCGGCTCCCGAGCAGGGCCCTGCACCCCGCGCTCGGGGCTCCTCTCCCTGACATACTCATTTAATTGTTAACTTGGGAGGCATTTGCTTACTTATTTTCATTGTTCTTGATAATAATTCTAAGCCATTAGAGGAGAAAATTATATTCAGAAGTACTGTTTCACAGTTTATTTGTTTGATGATTTAGAGCAGTAGAAAATAGCAGATTCGCTGGCTTTTATAGTCTGATAATTATTCGCATCCATCAAGCCATTCCAGGGGAATAAACAAAACACCGAGAAATTACACTATTAATAGCATCCTGTGCGGCGGCCAGAAGACACTGGCTCCCTGGGCCAGCGCGGGCAGCGTGTGGCGGCGCCCTGGGGAAGGCCGCTGCTGGGCGCCCGGGCTCCTGACACCGCGGCCCAGGGCCAGGCTCCTGCTGAGTTGCCCAGGCTGGCCTGGGCCGTGCAGTCCTCCTGCCTCAGCCTCCTGAGTGCCGGAACACCGTGTGTGTGCCATTGAACGAGGGGAGCCCGGTCCTTCCTCGTGTCCCTGCTGCCCTCGCAGGCCTGTCCCCTCCTGGACGCAAGTCGGGCCGTGGCCCGGCCAGGATCCTGGCCTCGGCGGATACGGCCCAGCCCCTGCTTTTGTGCCCTGGGCGGGTCTGAGGGTTGTGAGCGGTGCCCTGGTGGGGGGCAGTGATTGGAGGGGTGACATTTCCAGCTCCAGATGCTTCTGAGTACGGGCACAGAGAGCTGGGCCGCCCGCCCGCCCTCCCCAGGCCACCCTGTCATCCCCGACTCGGCATCCCTGCCTCCCAAGGCTTTTCTAACTTGTGTCTTTGTGCTGCTGGGATCGAGCCCAGGCCTGCGCCCTGGCTACCCTGGCCGTGTTCCTTATCTCCTCAGTGAGGTCTTGCTCGGTCCCGGCACTGCCCAGGCCAGGGCTGACCTCGCTCCAGCTCGTGAGTCCCCTGTGCCTCTGGCTTTGTCAATGTTCTGGGCTGCGTTTGCTTTCTCACCACTTGCTGATCCACGCACCTCACGCCCCGGCTCACAGGTCCAGGCCCGCCTGAGTTCCAGGGCCTCCCAGCCGGCACGTGCACCTGACACCGCAGCCTGGTTTTGTTTCCTCCTGGCACCCTCGTGCTGGCAGACGACCAGGCGTCACCCCTCGGGATGCTCTGCTCAGTCCCCAGCTCCCAGCATCCTGCCCGGGGTCACCTGCTGCGGTTGCCAGGGAGACGAGTGCATCCGGCCCTTGGGCTCTGGGGTGCTGGCTCTAGGCAGGCTAAGTGAACGCACTGGCCACGACTCAGGATCTCCACCGCCCTCCCTGGCCCCACAGTGCCTCGTCCCAGGGCTCCCTGCAGCCCTGCCCTCCCCTGTCAGCCTGAGGGCTCGTCTCCTGTGGGCGTGGGGGGCCCACGGGGACCCCTGGGCTGTGCACGAGGATGGGGAACTTTCAGGAGCTTCTAAATATGGACAGCCTGCAGTAGCCACAGGTCATTACCGCTGCTCTGGAGGTGCAGGGAGCTGGGGGACGTGGACAGGGAGGTGCCGCTGCCCGGGCTGGCGGGTTGCGGTTTGACCCTGAGTTGGGGATTGAGCACCCGGGGAGCAGGGCAGACTGTAGAACCAGCTTTGTTTTACAGCCCCAAGAAGTGGCTCGATAATTGCCAGGCAGATGCTCGTGCCACCTCGCGCTTTCCGTGGGCTGGAGCCGTGCTGCTGGCTGTTTGTCACTGCAGCCACAGACCCCAGCGTCGGGGAGGCCCAGTGGGCGCCAGGCACAGGCTGGGCTCCAGGGGCCAGGGCGCCTCCTCTCCGGGCGGCTGGCCTCCCCTCGCAGTATCAGCCCTGCGTCATGACCGGTCACCAGGCCAGCTCCTGCTGCCTCTGTGGCCTCTGCATCCGGGTCTCCCTGCCTGCCCTGGTCACAGCCCGGGAGCTCCAGGGGTTCAGCATGAGGCTCCTGCAGGGGTGGTGCAGTGATGTCCTCCTCCTCCGGGTGGCCACCAGGCATCCCCTGAAGGACCTGGCCCTCGCTCTGCACACTGCAGCTTGGGCAGTGAGGTTCTCGCGTGGCCCGAGCCTTCCGGGGACAGCTGGCACCCTGGGCCCTGTGCTTGGGCACCAGGGCTTGGGCACCACGAGGCCGCTGCTGGGCTGTGCCAGGGGCTTTGGTGGCAGGGCTGCTCACTCCTGGGCACTGCGGGCAGCAGAGTCCAGATGTCCCCAGGGCCACCTGCTTCCCAGCCGAGAGCCCCTCTAATCTCTCCCGGGGCCGTGTCTGCCGGCTGTCCTTCCCGATAGCAGCCGAGCCACGTTGCAGTGTATTAAACTTTTAACATCCACCAGATTCAATTAATCTTATCTTTACAACTCCCAATTACAGGCGGTAATTAAGTGAAAGCTGCATTGTAGACGGGGTATTGCATCCGTCATCCGTCATCCGTGCGGCAGCTGGGAATTAGCTCCGGGTCCGCCTCTTCCTCCCCCTCCTCCTCCTCTTCCTCCCCCTCCTCCTGCTGCTCCTCCTCCTCCCCCTCCTCCTCCCCCTCCTCCCCCCTCTTCCTCCCCCCCCCTCCTCCTCCTCGCTTCCCCTGGCGGGCGAGCCGTACACAGAGGTGCGGGGTTAGGATTAGCTGGGATCATCTGTGTGTAAACGATAACAGGCCTTTAAGCAAGGGGACCTCGGCCTCGTCCAGACAATGGCCCGACGAGGAGGAAGCGGAGGTCCCGGGTGGCCGTGGGCAGGAGCCTGGGCTTGCGCCCAGAACTTCGTCATGGTATTTAGTTTAGATAAGCGGGGACATGACATGTGCTTTATCTCCTGCCCTGCCTGCTTCAGTAGAAAAATCAGAACTCTCTGGCTGGGAATGGCTCCGCTGTGGACGGGCCATCTTTCCAAAGCTGTTTCTCTTCCTGGCTGCCTGTGTCCTGGGCGACAGGGGCCGCTGTGTGGTATCCTCTCCTCAGCTGGGGACCCCGGGACGGGACCATCCTGGGCACTGTGGCCACGATGTCTGTGGCCACCACCTGCTCCGTGTCAGGGGCTCTCACAAATCCTGACAGCCGCTGGCACCCCAGACACGGCCCAGGCCTGGCAGTGGGCACCTCTCCCGTGATGGAGCCCAGTAATTTTCCAAATAGAAAATGTGTCAGATGAAGCTTCAAGTGGGTGACAAAGGAAACTTCTCTTTCCTGAAGCCGCTTTCCCCTGCTGGCTCCCGGGCCCAGATGTGGGTGACTTGGGCCCAAGAGCTGGCTGGGAGCTTTGGGGTCCCCTCAGCGTGTGCTGGGAGCTCCCCGCTCTGAGCCCCCCTCCCCCGGCTTGGTCCTCGTGCCCGGAAGTGCCCTCTCTGACGCCCCCTTCTCTCGCAGGTACGCCATCCCGCCCGAGCACGGCAAGCGCCTGGAGCGGCTGGCCATCGGTAGGTGTCTGGGCTGGCGCGCGGGGCAGGGGGAGGGCCTGGGGCTGCCCGGGACGCGCTGCTGCCCGGCTTCTGTTTCTGTGTGTGTGGTTTGTGCCAGGGTGGAACCCTCCGCACTGAGCTCCGACTCCAGCCCCCTTTAACCTGGAGACGGGCTGACACTTGGGCTCCTGCTGCCTCCTTCTCCCCGAGTGTCGGGATCACAGGCGATGCACCACTGCACCCGGCTTGGGGTTCTGGACGGGGGTGATGGTGTCCTTTGCGGTGGGGTCCGCAGGGTCCCCCGCGTGCTCAGTGCCCTCGTGAGTCTCCACACTGCTGATGCCATGGCAGCGCCTTCTCTCTGGTCCTCTGAGGCCTGGGCCCACAGCACCCGAGCAGGGTGGTCCGGCACAGCCACCTGCCCAGGCGGCCCACATCCTCCCCTGGGGAGCCTCGGGCAGAGGTGTTGGTCAGGTGTCAGGTGGTCAGATACCAGGGGGACCCCTAGCACCTGGCGAGGCCCCAGGGTCATCGCCTGTTACCACAACTGCCATCCCCGCCTTCCTAGAACCTGGTGGTACCCACACGCCCAGGTAGACACCAGGAGTGTTACCCAGGTTGTCGGTTGTGACAGATGCCTGAGGGCACCCAGTGGCAGCAGCATGTGCCACCTGCACTGAGGCACCATCTGCTGTCTGCCGTGCCCATACACAGTGTCCACCGGGGCCGGCCCTCACCGGTGGGTCCCTGCTGGCCTTGGTCTGGGGCAGACGGGTCCCCTGCGCCTCGTGGGAAAGGGCCCTCCTCCGGGCCTGGCCCCGGCTCCTCCCCAGGCCCCACCTTAGGCCCCGTCTTAATGGGCCAGAGGGCAGTGATCTCAGGGCAGCCTGGGTGGCCCGGGACACATGGGCGGTGGCAGTGAGGACCTGGGGGCCCCAGAGGCCCCTTGGCCCCGTGCATGTCCCGATGGCAGCCGACGGGGTGGACTCTGAGGCTGGCGTGGAAGTTGCCCTTGGCGTTGGCATGGGACGCCAGCCCCCCGCTGCCTCCTGTCGCCTCCCTACCTTTGGCCCCCAGCACAGCTGCCACATGCCGTCTTCCCACAGGCTTTGCGCTGGAGGGACAGGGTGGCCCCTCCTGATGAGGGGTTCGGGAGCTCCTCAGCGTCTGGGCCACCCCACAGGGTAGTGGAGGGTGCCCAGGCTTCGACACAGTGCCCAGCTGCCCGTCTTCTGAGCAGTTCTGGTGGGAACTCAGTCCCACTCTATGGACAGGGCCTGTCTTGGGCCCCAGCTATCGGGGACCTGGATCCCCAGTCTCCCCAACGGGTGTACACTGAAGGCTTAAATAATGAGACAGTGGTGTGACTTCGGGGCTCCGGGAGGTCAGAACCCCCTGCAGGGCTGGGGACTCGGGGCTGAGAGGAGGGCTGTCTCTGGGCGGCCGTATTTATTTAGTTTTTCAACAGGGAAGGGTTAGAGTGGAAAATGCAGGAAACCGAGCAGGACCCCGGGAGGGCTTCAAGGACTTTCCCAAGTAACGGACTGTGCTAACGTAGAGAAGGATCCTCGGAGGAGGTCTCCGGGTGACTTCCCCACAGGAGTGAGCGCCTGCAGCTCCGGCCCAGCTTGTGAATCGGGGCGGAGCCAGGCGTCCTCAGCTGTGGCCTTTTCTTGCCCTTTGAGGTGCCTCTTTGTCCTGGGGTCCCCCACGCCCCAGCGTGTGTGAAGTTTCCAGCGTCAGGGGCTCCCGACACCGGGCTACGCTCCCCATAGAAATGTAGAGTTTGGGGAGGTCTGTAGTGAAGATCTCTTCGCTTAGGTATCAGCTCTCAAAATAAAAGATGGAGACAGTTTCTGCATGTACTTCTGTTGTTCTCTTCTTTTCATTTCAGAGGCAGGATCCTGCTGTATAGTCCAGGCAGGACTTCAGTCCACCGTGTAGCCCAGGCTGGCCTGAAACGGCAACCCTCCTGCCTCAGCCTCCTGAGGGCTGGGCTCACAGGGCTGTGCCTCCACACCAGTCTATTGTACTTTTTTTCCAGAAATACAAACTTTAATTTTAAAATACAAGATAGAGAGATGTTTCCCTGATGAGTTTTCTGTTGCCATTACAAGTAATCACATCTAGTGAGTTTAAACAGCATGAACTAACAGTTCTGCAGGTCAGAAGTTTGAGACTCGGTGGTGGTGCTGGGAGGAGCCGGGCTCCCGTTCTGGCTCATCGGGGCGCCTGCAGTCCTCTGCTCGTGGTCCCTTCCTCCATCTGCAGAGCCAGCAGCAGCCTCTCTAGGCCTCCCCCCGCCCCTTGCTGGCCCGGCCGCAGAGTCCCTGAGAACCACCCTGCTGTGGCTGCCGTTAGGTGGCTCAGGTGACGGACAGGGACCCTCATGCAGTGGCTGACTCTGAAGCCGGGACTCTGGGGCGGGCCCTGCCGGCCTCTCCATACCTCCCTCCTCCATTGCCACGCGCTCTGCTGTGCCTGCGTCCTGCTGGCACCCCTCAGCTTTTGTCCTTTGCCTGCACTCCTGAGGTCCCAGCTGTGTGCAGGACCTCCCAGGGTAGGTGGGGCTCAGCCAGCAAGCCGGGCTCCCCGTCCACACGGCGGTCCCCACCAGCCAGGACTTCCCTCCTGGTGCAGCAGCTGCCCAGAATTTCGGGCACCATGACCCTTAACCCAGGCAGCAGCCCCTCCGGCCCCTGCTGCACTTGGGGGGACACTCATGTCACGGGCTCCATGGAGGAGCCCCGGAGCGGGTGTGTGATTAACAGGGGGACTGAATGGCACGCCTGGAATGGGCCAGGCTTGCGGGAGAGCTGCGGGGCCGCGGAGAGAGCCTTAATGTGCAGCCGCATTATTGGTGCTAATCACTGGGAACGTGCGCCTCTGTGAGCGCGGTGATGAGGGCCACTTAAACCACCCATTAGGAGACCGCGCCCCTGGCAGCAGCCGTAACTCTACGGCAGCGCACTCAGTGCCTCTGCGCTCTGTGGTCCCGACTTTCCGGAACCTCCTACATCAGCCCCAGGCGGGCAGGCCCCCGCCCCCTCCATGCCCACCATGTGCCCATCTGTGCAGGTCGTAGCGAGACCCCGCCCGTCATGGGGCAGCCCGGCCTCTGATTCAGGGCTGCCCCTCGAGGGCCACAGAGGACATGCAGCTCCCATCAGCTGGGCGGTCTGCTGTGGACAGAGGTGTCCCCAACAGAATTCACAGCCATCCTTGCCCATGGCTGATGGGTGTTTGGGGCGGTGGGGACCTGTGTGAGAGACAGAGCAGGTACAGCCAGAGCTGCCCCTGCGGGCCCTGCCAGCCCTCCCTGTGACGCGCAGTGCCCAGAGGGAAGGGGCTCGGGGGCAGTGCCAGTCCTGTCCACGGCTCCGGCTCCATGTCTCCGGTGGCACCTGTCAGGCTGCCGCGGTGACTGGCCCCGTGTCCCGTCTCCCCAGCCACCTCCCTGACCTCTGCTGCCCCCCACTCCCTCCCACCCCAGCACACCCCCGGAGCCAGCGATGGGCCTGGGTGCCGATCCTCCTCAGAGTGCTGACTGGGGTCCACTGTGTGCCTGCAGGCCCCCACGGGCACCCCGGCCTCAACCAGCCCCTGACTGACGCTGCCTCTGTCTGTCCTAGGCTTCTTCCCTGGGAGCTCGCAGGGCTGTGACGCCTTCCTGCGCCACAAGATGACGCTCATTTCTCCCATCATCCTGAAGAAGTACGGGATCCCCTTCAGCAGGGTGCGTGCGGCTTAGACCCGGGGTGGGGGGCGCAAGCTTCTGAAAGCACCCCAGCGAGAGGTCAAGGGCTGCCGCAGGGGCTCCCGCTCTGTGCTGTGGGGTCCGCAGTCGGGCAGGGCTGGCCTGCCTCCCCTCCTCCCTCCTCTCTGCAGGCACGCCCACTCCCCGGGGCTCCCCAGGGCCTGTGGCGGGGGCCAGGGTCAGGCACAAAAGCCCAAGCTGAGGTGGCTCCCGTGGATGTGCTGGGGGCCCCTGCAGACCCCCTCCAACCCGAGAGCTGCCCTCCTGCCCCTGCCCCTTGTGGGCCTGTGCCATCCAGCGGGGTCTGCTGCGTGATGTGCTCGGTCTTGCGGTACACTGCTGGCACTTAGAATTTGCAGACCAAGGGGCTCTGGGTCCCCTGGAGGCCAAGGGGCCACCTGCCTGGGAGGCAGCTCTGCTGGGGCACACGGCCTTGTCCTGGGGCAGGACAGGCATGGGCCCTGGAGGAGAAGCCCCCCGAGGACCCAGTTAGGTTTCCTGGGCAGAGCGGTTTGTGGGGCCTAGGAGCCGCCGCTCCCGTGCCCACCTTCCCGTTAGCTGTCGGAAATTGTTTCTGACATTTTAATTGCCCGCCTGAGGCTCAGCCCGCACTGGGTGCCATGTGCTGCTTGTCAGGAGGTGCAGCCAGGGAGGGCAGCTCCCGGCCCTGCTGGGCGGGCAGGCGGGCGGCAGCCAAACCCTGCATACAGATGTGCTGTCCCTCTGCACCAGAGACCGCGTCCCACAGCTCCCGGCTGTGGACACAAGCCCGCTGCTTCCCTGCCCGCTGCAGCGTGGACGGAGCTGCAGCCCCTGCTGTCTCCCGGGCCCTCATCCTGATGGTGTCGGAGCTCACACAGACCTCCTGGCCCAAGCTGGCACTGGGACGCCATGTTCCTCGCTCCCAGCCGGGGACCCAGCATCCATGTCCTGCAAGGCCTGGTGCCTCCCAGCCTTGGGGGGCATCACAGCCCCCAGAGGCTCCAGGCGTGGACCCCTCATCTGAATTCTCAGCGCCCTTGAAAAGAGCAACTCCCCACACCCTGCGCTGCTGGTGAATCCTCGTAATGGTATTTACTTCTCCAAGAACCCCAGATCGATAGCAGAGCTGTTAATAATTACAGTGTGTGTTTCTGCCATCTGCGTGGACTTCCTCCGTCCCCGTGTGCGTGTGGAGAAGCCACTGCAGCCCGGCTCCCCATCCGTCCTCCCCAGCGCCCCCCAGGTCATTGTGGGGCTCGTGTTGGCAGCAGTGACGTGGAAGACAGACGCTGTGGGCTCCAGGCGCCGCCCGGGATGTGGTTCTTCCAGCGGGGACCCCATCTTCCTGTCGTCCAGCCAAGCGCGGCCTCGACGCTGGGTCTCGGGTCCCAGGAGGTGCAGCAGGCAGGACAGGGCCCCCCATGTCTCCCCGAGCCAGCGCTGGTGTCACACGGAGGCTCCCAGCTGCACCCCAGAAGGCTCCAGGCTAGTAGCTTCCAGCACACTGCGCCTGATCCGCAGGCCCGGCCTCCGCCCACCAGCCAGCCTGCAGAAGGCTCGGGAAGCCGCTGGCTGTGAGGGGCCCAGCAGGGCCGTGCAGGGCCCGCTCTGCTCTGCTGGCCGAGAAAATCAGCAGTCAAGACCCCGCTGCCTGGAGAGAAGCCGCCGCGGAGTCTGGGCCGAGGTGGCAGCCACTGCTGGGGTCTGAGGGGCTCCAGTGCCTCCCCGAACCCTCCATCCTGCCACGCACGCCCGACACTCGGAGAAGAATTTAAAAATATAATTGAACTCGCACCGACCTCCTTTGATTGATGCAACTAATTATTTAAGAAGGAAACATCTTGTGTTCTTCGGGCCTGACTTCCCCCAGGCCGTGTCAGTCTTGATTGACTTTTGATGTGGTGGAAGCTTCTAGAAGCCTCGCCCTCAGCTCCCCGCACCCACTCCCGGCCCGCTGGGGCTCCGCCTGGCCCCCGTCCCTGGACCCAGAGGCCTCTGCAGGTCTCTCCTGAGAAAGTGCAGATCAGCTGGCAGCACCTGCAGACCAACCCTGAGAGGACACATGGCCGGCGCCCAGGAGCAGGAGGGCACTCGGGGAGGCTGAGCCAGGAGGGTTGCAAGTTCGACCCCAGCCCTGGCAGCTTCGTCGAAGTTAGTGAGAGCCCACCCCACCTCAAAGAATAAAAAGGTCTGGGGAGCCCGCCACGGGGTTCACACACCTGCCAAGGGGGCCAGACAAGAGCCACGGCTGCCCACCTCGGTCCCCAAGCCTGTGCCTCAGGCCCAGCTGTCTACAGGAGGCAACTCTGCCAGCCCGGGCACAGCAAGGGGGCACAGTCCCCTGTCATCCGTCACAGACCTGACATGAAATGCGTCACTGATGGCCAAGTGCTGCCATCGTGGGGACAGCGTGGTCACCCAGGTGCCCCCTCCCCAGAAGGGACGGGGGGCTCTGACGAGACTGTGACCCTCCTGGCTCTGGGGGCTGTGCTGGCAGCTTGGTCCCCACAGCCTGAGCAGGGTGACCGCGGCCAGGCTGTCCCGCTGTCTGAGCTGGCTCCGGGTGCCACAACTGCCCTTATGGGGCTGCGATTGAGGCCACAAGGCCGCCGCGTGCTGACCTCAGCCTCTGAAATCCCCGTGCCTGCCTTCTCTGGAGCTGGGCACGTGACTCCATGCAGAGCCTCTCAGGCCAGGGGGCACCACTCAGGAGCCTGCACAGGGGTCTGTCATGGCGGCAGGGTGACGCCCCTGCAGGGAGCGCACCCCAGCCTCACTGGGGCCTTCAGTGTGACGAGTGGCCGCGGGACGTGTCCTCCACCACCCACCCGGCCTTGGCTGCTCCCCGGCCCTCACCTCCCGCCTTCCCCCTCAGATCACGCAGGAGGCCGGGGAGTTCATGATCACCTTCCCCTACGGGTACCACGCCGGCTTCAACCACGGCTTCAACTGTGCAGAATCCACCAACTTCGCCACCCTGCGGTGGATTGATTACGGCAAAGTGGCCACACAGGTAGGCACGGGGTACTGCGGGGGTCCTCGGCTCTGTCTGTCGGCTGGCCTGGGCCTGGGACCCCAGGGCTGGGGAGGGCGGAGACGGGGCTCAGCAGCCTCACATTTCCGTGCCTGAAGGCTTCTTGCTGACTGGGGTCCCCAGAGGTTATGCAAAGGTGCAAAGAGTTTGTGTTCCCGGTAATCCGCCGAGCTTTGTCTCTGAGGACTTGGACTGGCAGTGCTTGTGACAGGAAGCCACGTATGCACGGCACCCCTGGGTGCCTCCTGCAGGACCCCTGCCCCTGCTCTGGGGAGCTGTGCGTTCCTCCCCCAGCCTGGGCTCGGCTGCGGGGTGGCCCCGGCTCCCCCGCTGCCCTGCTGTCCCCTCTGAATCCCGGCCACCCTGTCCCTTCTGCCCCACGGTGACCAGGTGTGGCTGCAGGCCTGCTCAGGGGGACACAGGCGGTCCCTGCCAGTTCCTCCAGGCCTCAGGATTGGGGCGACCTGGGTTCCCCCAGTCTGGATCTGGGGGTGGGGTGAGAGAGAGCTTGCGGGCAGGACGCCGATTACCCATCATCCCTTGGGCCTCAGACCTTAGTGCGAGGTGAGAGAGACTGCTGGGGGCCTCAGGTGCACCCCATGTGGTGAGGTGTGAGCCCAGGGACTCCGCAGCCACGACGTTCAGGACCAGGGACAGTGCAGAGCACTGGGACAGCGTGGGGGGCCGGGCGGGCTGCTGACAGTGCTGGGGTGGGGGGAGGTGGGTCAGGCCCAGTGGTGCTCAGATGAGGCTTCTTCAGGAAGCCGGGGCTCTGCATGCAGGGGCGGCGTGCCGTTCCGCTGGGCGGCGCTGGTCCGGGTGAACCTGCCTTTAACATCTCCGTCACTTGCTTCTCTGCCTGCGTTGCTGCAGTGCTGGTGTGGATTCCGTGTCTTTGCAGCCTGGGGCAGAGCCTGGGTCTGGTCTGTACTGGGAAGCCTGCCCCACTGCCCCAGGCGAGACGGGGCTGCAGTGGGAGCACTGGAGCTGGGGGTCCTCCCTGGGAAAACCCTCAGCTGGGCTGGGTGAGGACAGGCTCAGGACCAGTGCTTGCCCGGCTCTGAGCTAAAGGACTGATGGAGCATCTCCGGCCACAGGTGCAGCGGCCGGCTCTGCGGCTGTATGTGTCACCGCAGGCCTGGCCCAGCCTGGCCCGCAGGTGCAGTCATCACCGAGGCTGCGCAGGCTTCGGGGCCTGCCCAGACATGAAAGGCAATTTGGGGTGCAGCCATGTGTGCACAGACAAGTGGCGCTGGGGGAGCTGCAGCCTGGACGGCCTGCAGGCCGACATTGTTAGGTGGTGGGGCGTGAAATTGCTGAGCGCAGTGCGGCGTGCTGGAGGGGCTCCGGCTGCTCTGGGGGGTGGGGCAGCGGGTCCCAACCTGAGCAGGGTCCCTGCTCCCGTGGCTCTCACTGGAGAGCTGGGTGGGTGGGAGGTGGGAGGAGGCTGGCCCGGGCCTGCCCAGAGCTCCTCAGCACCCGTGTAGAGAGCAGGGAAGGGGAGCCCCTGCCACTGCCGCACGCCCCCGTGGCCCAGGCACCTGTCCACCTGCCTCGAAGCCAGCTGCTTGCACACGTGTCAGGGACCCAAGAGGCCACCTGTGCCCCACATGCTAGAGGATGCTCTGGGTCCCTGCCCATCCTGCCCTGAGCTCTGCTGCAGCAGGGGGAGCCGCCCACCGCCTCCATCGGTTCAGGCATCTGGTGCAGGTGCAGACCAGGCCCTCGGGCCGTTCTTGGCCGGCAGTTTTTACCCTATCTGCAGAGCAGGTGTGACATTTAAATCTTCAAAGCCGGGGCCATGGCCGGGAAGTCAGGTCTTGTCCTGCACCATCCATCGGGGAGCTAAGGCCGCTGCGCCCCGCAACAATGGAGCCAGCAGCCCAGAGTCCAAAGAGCTGCTCTCAGAAAGAGCGCCAGGCCCCGCTGCCTCGCTTGCCCGGCCGTGTCCTGGCCACATCCTACTCGCCCCCACGCCATGCTGAGGCCAGGTCGGGCGGCAGATGGCACCACCTCAGATGCCCTCCCTGCCGTGTCCCCACGGTGACGGGACCTGTCCCCGAGGCTGGTGAGGCCTGCATGTCCCTGAGCTGTCCAGGGCCCTGCCCTTGGCCACTGGAGGTTTGGCTAGGTCAGGGCCGAGGCTGCTCTCCTGGGGCGTCCTGGGCCCTGCAGGGTGCTGGGCGGTGTCCAGGGGTGCAGTCCGCCAGCGAGGCCCTTGGCCCAGCGGCCCTTGTGCTTCTCACTGGCTCAGCTGCTGTTCTGGCCCCCTGGGAATCCTGCGGCCGGACTTCCTGTTGGGAGGGGGCAGCACTTATGACCCCCCCACGGCAGCTGCTCTGTGGGCAGCCGTGTCCTCCCCGGCCCATACCCCCGCACCCCGATGCCAAGGGGCCACCCGGCTACGCGGCTGCAGCCCTGCCATGAGGCTGTCCCGGCTTTGAGGGGCGTCAGGCTGACAGCAGGACCCGCCTGCACCCAGTCAGACCCTGCCGTACACCCCATCCAGAGGCTCAGCCCACACTGAGCTCCACCCAAGGCCTTTTTGTGCTTCATGTTAGATGGGATTTCACTGCATCGCAGGCTGCCTCTGCTTAGCTCTGGGCGCCCACCGTGGTGCAGGGCACCCCACCGCCACACCAGCAGCCAAGGGGCTCACCCATCCCTGAGCCCCCCACAGCGGGATGGCACAGAGCCAGAGGGTGGCAAGCGGGGTGCCTGGTCAGGAACCCCAGTAGAGTATGCTTAGTCACCCCTGGAGAAGCCCTGGGGTCTCAATCAGGAAGGTGTCCCAGTGTGGGGGACACAGATCCCAAGACACTTTCTGGAGCCCCCCACTCAGCATAGACCCCCTAGTCCCGGGTCCGACAGGCAGCAGCCAGCACTGGTTTGGGGGAGCAGCAGGAAGCAGGTTGGGGGCGGCCCTTACCCTCAGCCTGTAATGCGGCGCCAGCTTGGCTCTGCCCTGTGAGGACCGTGTGCCGTCTGTCTGTGACAGAGCCGCTGCTCTGGCTGATTAACCCAGCCCGGGAGGTGGCAGAAGGCCGGGCAGGGGCGGGAGGAGGAGGCCAAGCAGAGGACCGGGAGGGCCGACCCCCAGACCTGGGGTGCCAGCTGGCCTGTGGCTGCGCCTCACTGCCCCTCTGATTTATGGCATCGCGAGTTTCGATGCAGATCACCGTTAAGCACGTACTCCTTGGAATTGGCCCACTCCTGTCCCGGGCTGCAGGTGTGTGGCAGGTGGAGGGGTGAGCGGGGGGCTGGCTGGAGCAGCTCCTGGGGCGCCCGTGTCGGGCCCCTCCCCAGCCCCCCAGGGGCTCCCGGGAAGTCAGGCCTGGGCGCCCTACACAGCATAGCCCTGTGCAGGGCAGCACTCTGTGCCTCAGTTCCCCATCAAAAATGGGGGCTTCTGGGATGCCCTCTGGGAGCTGTCGGGAGTGTGGTTGCTGTCCTGGTCGTCCACATGGGCCGTTGGGTGGGGGCACCTGCCTTGGGCTCCTTTGTGAGGCAGGCGTGGCCTGGAGCTCAGCGCCCGCGTGGGGGGCCGTGCCCGTGCATCCCTGCGGGGACCCCGCTGTGGCCAGGCCCGAGCCAGCCTGATGGCTTTGTTTCCTACTGAGCTGGCTCATGAGTGCTCCTGCTGCAGCTCGGATAATTACCTTGGAAATGGGGGGCCGCGCTTCCTTCCCTGACTCACCAGCATGGGGTGTGGGGCGTCTCGTGCCTGCCCCACGCCAGGCAGTGACTACACTGGGGCTCGTGCCCGGCCCTGGCAGCCTCACCACCTCTGCTCAGACTGTCACAATGTGGGCCACCATCCAGTGCGGGCTGGGGATACATACAGACAGGAGGAAGCCTGCCCCATCGGAGAGGAGACGGCCAGGATGCCCGGGGCCGCCCCTTTGTCAGGAGAGGCTGGGCTGGCCGCTGTGGGGGGCCCTGCCCCCTCCTGGGCTTCTGGGCACAGCCTTCTGTTGTGCCGAGCCCCCTCCAGCTCTTAGAAGGACTCCCTAAAGCAGGCCGGCAGGTGTGGCCTCAGGAGCTGGGGCGTCCCGTGGGTGCAGAGAGGACGTTGGTCCCTGTGACCTCGCTGTAGAGGAGGCCTGGGGTGCAGGGCGGCCGAGAGCTCAGCTGCGCCCCAGGTTTGGGCTGACACACGGGGTCCCTGGTGGTGACAGTGCAGAGGCAGTCAGGCCATGCAGGGTGGCACAGGAGGCCACGCCGTGTGGCCCTGCCCCCAGAGAGACGTGTCCCAGCGCCACCCCCAGCACCCCAGCTGCACCTTGGGGGGCTTGTGGGAAGCCACACAGCCACACGCCTGTGGTTCCCGGGCTGCAGGTGCCGGCAGCCCGTCGGCTGGAGGACGGTTCCGCTGCTCCTCGGGGCTCCGCTGGCAAGGTGGCCCGTTCCGTGCTGTTTCCTGCACAGCGGAGGCCGCACATTTCCCAGTGCCGTGGGCTGTTCCCGCGCTGCAGCGTTGGCCCCGATGTTCCGTCCTGGTTCCCCGTCTGTGCCGAGAGAGGGAGAGGGTCCCTGCGGCCCGGTGCTATCTGGGTTGGTGATTTTATTGGACCATATTGAACCGTTTTCTCCTTAGGCCGAGGGCTGGGACTGCGCTTTCCCGCTGTGCCACTTACCTGAGCGAATTCTAATATCTGCGCAGTCTTTTAAGGCGAGGTGGCCCCCGATTAAAGCTCAGAGCAGTTTAAATGGGGGGCCGGGGCCCAGCACCCCGCGGGCCCTGCGGTCTGGTCTCACTCTCTGCCGAGCTCAGCGGTGGCCCTGTGGGGTGGGAAGCGATGCGCGTCCCTGGACAAGCCGGCTCCCAAAAGCAGGCCGGCAGTGTGGCCCCCGACACCCGAGGCGGGTCAGCAGCGGGGGGCACTCGGGCTTGCTCAGGGAGCCCCAGTGCTGGCAGGCTACGGAGCTGTAAGCTGACCTTCGTAGCTCACTCAGACGCGGGGCGTGGAAGGGACCCTACTGCCGGAGGACCAGAGCTGCCAACCTCTGTCCCCTGGGCCCGCTGCCAGGCTGTGCTGCTGGGGTGCAGGTGCTCCCCGCTCCTCCTCGGGGCTCTGCTGGGCAGTGACCCGCAGGCACCAGGCAGAGCGGTGCCGTGCAGATGTGCCTCACACCTGTCATCCCGCACTTCGGGAGGCCGGGCAGGGGGTCACAAGTTCCAAACCAGTTTGCACAACTTAGCAAGACCCTGGCTTAAAAAAGGGTCGGGATATAGCTCAGAGCCAAGGGCTCCATCCCTGACCCAAAGAGCAGGAGACCAGTGGCAGACCAGCACGGAGTGAGAAGACCCAGCTCCTGTTCCTCGGAGAGTGAGGCTTCCTCCACCTAAATCCCACCCGACACCATTCCGGGGGGAGGAGGGTGCTGTGCCCGTACGCTCTCCCGGGTCTCACCTCCACTAGGGCCGACCCACCGGGCTGCGAGAGACCGTGTATGTGTCACTCTCTGCTGTGGTGGCCGGGCTGTGGGTGACGGGTGAGCCAGCTGCAGGGGGCGCGGCTGTCTTAGGGGGCTGTGCCTAGAACAAGGGGCGGCCCCAGCCCCAGGGCCCAGCGCTGTACCCCATACCACGCCCACCCAGTAACAGGGCTCCCGCCTGGGCACAGCATGCCGCAGGCCCTGCAGACCTGGGGGTCCCATGGCGCGGCCCTGGCCCTCCGGGGTGCCCCTCTGACCCAAGCCTCCCGGCCCGAGGGACCAAGGAGCGGACTTCCAAGTGCAGAGCGCACCCCGGGGTGGACGCGAGCCGGGGCTCCATGAGCTGAGAGTGGGAAACCGTTTTGCTCCAGGGTGCTGTCGCCTCAAGTGCAGAACAGGAGCTGAAGCCAGCGCCTTTTGGGGGGTGGGGGCGGGGCATCCAGAACCTTGGGAAGCGACGGCTCTGGGTGCAGCAGTCCCTGCGCGGAGACTGCGGGTCACCCCAGTCCCTGGCGGGGTTTCGCAGGGATTGAGGTCTGCAAGGTGTGCAGGGCCTGTCCTTCCTCCCGGCGGTCTCCTGTGGACCGGAGCACAGGAACTCTGCAGGCTGGGGAGCAGTGTGAGTGCTTTCCTGGCTCGCCTCCAGGGGACCCTGTGAGTGCTGGGGTGGGACTGTGCTCAGCAAAAACCCCATGGCGTGGGCACAGCCACCACCCAGTCCTGAGACCGAGTCGCAGGAGTCACCCTGCGAGGCCTCTGCAGGCCCTGGTGGGTCTGCACACTCTCCGTGGCATCCACAGCTTGGCAGACTGCACGGCTGAGGCCTGAGCCCAGCGTGATGAGGGCGGGGCGGGGTGGAAACGTGGAGCTCGCTTGGTCCCGGGCAGGGAGCTTCACCGTGTCTGCGTGAAACTGGGCGCCTGGTGAGAGCCTGGTCCCTGCCTGGAGCTCCCTGCTGTGTGGCCCCGAAGCTGGCATCCTCTGAGAGCCGGGCACACCTGGACCTGTCACTGTTCTGAGACTCCTGGGGACCTGCCGGCTGGCCCTGCACCTCTCTGGCCTGAATAGGGTGTCAGAAGGGTTCTGGGGGTTTGGGGGTTCATGTGTGCAGTGTGAGCCTTTTTCTCTTAGCGACAAGGCAGAGAGCAGTTTTGTGCTTCTTGTTTTTGAAAGGTCCGAAGGGGAGCTGTGGAGGGCAGGGGCCCGAGAGGTCACTAGCATGTTCCGCCTCGAGTCTGGGCTCCTCGGAGCCAGACACTGTGCCTGGCCTCTCCGGGGCTGTGGAGGCAGTGACAGAGCCCGGCCCTGCTCCTCATCCCCACTCCCCGCACTCTGGGCGCCATCAAGCGAGTCCGCAGATTAATTAACTTGGCACCGGCAGCTGTGGTGGCAGCCGTGTTGGGGGCTCTTTACAGAGCACTTTGTGGGAGACTGCTGCAGCTAGGGGGGCACCGGGAGGGGTGGCAGCATCCCGGGACAGGGGAGCAGCCGGTGGAGCTGAGGGGTGGCAGGCCCCCAGAGGGCACACTCAGAGGACCCCATGCCTGCCCCAAGGCCCAGCTGTCAGCCCTGCTCCTGCCGTCCCCAAAGGGCTCACGGAGCCGGCGGCCCCTGCCTGGCGTGGGTGGCGCAGAGAGGCTGGCCCTGGTCCTCGGGGCCACGGGTCTGGGCGGCTGAGCACTGGGTGCCGTGTGGTCGCCCTCGGGACGGGGGGCACGGGGCCCTGCAGGGCGGGGTGCTCAGCCCGTTCCCTGTTGGGGTCTGGTTTCTCCATCAGACGCTTGATGACTCAGCTGCACCCGCAGAGCTGCTCCATGTCTGTCTTGGTGCTGACGGGGTCCCTGTGGCCTCCGTCACGGAGAGGTGCATCTCAGAGGCTCGGAGACGGCCGGGCGGCCGGGGAACGGGATGGGGCAGGCAGGGGTAGAGAAACGCACAGCCCAGTTCCCTCGCTGCCCTCTCCTCCTGGGTGCCAGCTCAGCAGCGCCCAGAGGTTTTTGCAGTGAGGCTCCTGCCAGCCTGACGCCCCTCGGTGGCCCTGCAGCAAGGGGCAGCCAGGTCCAGTCCTGGTGTCTCCCAGGCGCAGAGCGAGTGGCGTGGTGGCAGTGGTGGCACTGTGGTGGGGTCTTGTGCCTGGCATCGCCTCCCCTGCGCTGTCAGGCTGGGTGCTGGGTCGGGTCTGCAGCTCCTGGTCTAGGGAGTGACTCTGTGCCCCAGCCACAAGGCTGGAACTTCCTCCTGGACCCTCCGTGCCCGAGCTGCCCACACTGCTGTCGAGCCCCCTGGAGACGTTTCTATGGGTGTCCGGGGGCCACCGGCACTGCAGAGTGACTCCAGGACCTGCCACTACAGAGGGCTTGTGCCCGCAGCCCCGGCTCAGCTGGTTGTGTTCGGATGGCAGGATGAGGAGATGGGCCAGCCCGGCCAGCTCGGCCAGCACGGCCGTGAAGCACTCTGCAGATCGTGCGCCCCACAGCCCGGGCGCGCACAGGTGCGCTTTGTAATTAGGCAAGGAGAAACAATCTCGGAACCGCTCAGTACAAATCCCTTAAGCTGCCGTGGCCCGGCCGGGCCAGGAGCCCGAGCAGCAGCGCCATCTGCGCGCTCCTGCCTCTGTGGCCAAGTGCCACCGCTGGCCTCGCCACGCTGGCATCCTAGGAAGCAGGGCTGTTGGCACTGTGTGTGAATGTCTCCTCCCCTCGGCGTGGGCTCTGTGCGGCTGGGAAGTGTCCGTGTCCCCAGAGCAAGCTCAGGGCGGGCAGCCACACTCAGGTCCCGTCTCCCACCTCCCTCTCTGTGGAGCGGGGGCCACCAAGCAGCCCACGTGTCCCCCACAAGACCGGGACTGGGGTGGTGCAGCTGCCAGGCGTGGAGACCCTGCAGCCCCGTCCTCTGTGCTCCCCTTCCTCACATGGTCTGTGCCCCTCGAGAGGCCGGACGGGCACGGGGACCCCCCGAAGTGGAAAGCCCCCGAGCTCTGGCCTGCTGCGGACGAAGCCTGTCCCTCCCTGCCTGAGACCGAGGTCCCCTCCGCCCCTACCCCTGCCTCCGAGCTGCAGGGCCCCAGCTCTGCCAAGGTGGGCAGTGTGACATCAGAGCGTGCTCAGCTGCCTGGCGTCTGTGCCCGGGCCACCCGCAGCGCCCAGTGTGGTGGCCAGGCCCGAGAGAGGAAACGGGGGGAGGTCAGGAGCACGGGGCCATGGCCTCTGCATGTCCTCCTTACCCATGTTTGCCCTTGCTGGGGGGCATCCCTCCCAGGGTGGTGCCTGCTAAGTCCAGCAGGAGCGTGGACTGTGGGTGTCACTGTATGCCCTGTGGGAGCCTCTCGGCCTTGGCTCCTGGGCCTCCGCTTTATGCCACAGTGGCTGGCAGGGGAGGCCAGTGTCGCCCGGGCCAGGCCCTGCACAGGGCACCTGCCCCTTCGGACCTCATTGTGTGCCTGGTCCCGTCCTCCGGGGTGCTTGCTGTCCCTGCACTGTCCAGGTCGGGTCTGTTCCTGCCTTCTCTGCTGGAGCGCCCTGGCAGGGCGGCACCTGAGGCCTGTGTGTCCCCGCAGTGCACCTGCCGTAAGGACATGGTGAAGATCTCCATGGACGTGTTCGTGCGCATCCTGCAGCCCGAGCGCTACGAGCTGTGGAAGCAGGGCAAGGACCTCCCGGTGCTGGACCACACGCGGCCCACGGCCCTCAGCAGCCCCGAGCTCAGCTCCTGGAGCGCCTCGAGAGCCTCGCTCAAGGCCAAGCTTCTGCGCAGGTGGGTGGCTGGGGGCAGCAGGTGCCTGCCCAGCGCGCCGCACAGACCCCTCCCCGAGGCCTGCGATGGGGACCGTCCGGGCCGCCCGTCCTCTCCCCGCTCCCTGCCCTCCGTTTCCTCTGTCTGAGCCGCGGCAGGGATTACCATGGCAGGATTGCTTTAGAAAGGGCTTGCCGGTCAGCACCCTCAAGGCCCTTTTTGCCTCAAAGAAAGAATCAGACACAGAAAGCCAGGAAATGGTGCCAGGAGTTGGGTGGACAGCGAGGGCGTGTTATGATGGAGACCAGCCCTGCGGGACAAGAGAAAAGGCCGATAAAAGCCACCCAGGAGGGGGCGCCACGCTGGGAAACCCAGCCAGGGCTGTCGTGGGGACGCACGTGGCTGGCTTCCCGTGGCGTGTGGCCCGAGTTCAGCGAGTTCAGCTCTGGAGAGGCCACGCGGGGACGGGCCCACCCACGCCTGTTGCCAGCCCGCCGTGTTGCGCCCTGTGGGGGCCTCGGGGCACTTGGTGTGTCCTGCCCTGCTCCGTAGCAGAGCCCCAGGGCCCTGGCCGCACGCTGCGCTCCGGGGCGCCCACAGGATGTGGGGCGCCCGCAGGATGTGGGGCGCTGGCCCTCTGCACTGCCGTCGCTCACTGTGCGGCTGGTGTGTGGCTCGGCTTGGGGCCCCACCCGTAGGGTGTCCTTAGACACCCCGTTCATCTCACTGCGAATCTGGGGACCCCTCCGCTGTGTGCTCAGGGCTCGGGGACCAGGTGCAGGCCGGGACGAAGCCAGTACTGCTCCAAGCAGAGCGAGCAGGACCCGGCAAAGCCCGCAGCTCACAGGCGCTGCATCCACGCTGGGAGCCCCGGCCGCTCGCGGCCATCTGTCCACACCGGGCAGCCCCATTTGCCCCAGGAACATTCCACGGTCGCTGGGGAGGGACGCTGCCGTGCTCCAGGGACTATGGCCCGGACAGTGCGGAGGCCCTGGCCCGTGGAGCTCCTCGAGCAGACCCTGGAAGGCGGCCCCGTTGGGACAGAACCAGGATGCCACTGTGCTCTGCTCTGCTCCGGCCACTAAGGATAGAAGCACCACCGCAGCCTGCATGGTTGTCACACAGGCAGTGGCATCGGCTGGGAGGTTGCCGCCAGCCTGACCGTCCCGTCTTCCCCCGCGCTGGGCGGGGCCTGCGGGGCCCACCGTCTCCCTCCCGCCCCGAGACCTGGCCCAGCCCCACGCACGCCTGTCACCAGGGCCTCGTCCCCGTGTCCCGTCTTCTCTGTGGCCGCACTGCAGGCAGCGCAGCTGGCCTGGTCCTCTTTGTCCGCTGTGCCTTTGATTCTTCCTGAAAAGCCGCCCGCCTGCCCGCCCAGCGAGGCTGTGCTGCTGCTCCAGGCCGACAGCCTGTTTGTGTAAAGGTCCATTGATTGCATGGGGCTAATTGGTCAACAGAGCGGCTGCCAGCCCGGGCGCCGCATTCCATCCGGGCAGGAGGGCTTAGCCAGTGCAGCTGCCAGGTGGCAGTGCCAGGCCCTCGAACAGGAAAGGAGCCTTGCGGCCGGCGTCCCTGTGGCCTCTCAGCCCGCACCCCAGCCCCGGCCCGCCTGTTCCCAGGGCGCTGCAGCCCGGGAGCCAAAATGCCCCAGCGCCGGCAGGAACAACAAGGCCAGTCCAATTTCCAGGCTACAGTTTGCTTTACAGCCGTTAGCGTGTACGACAGGCCGATTCCCTTCCCTTCCTGTGAAGTCGCTCCCGCGGGGAGGCGGCTGTTTGTGCCTTAAAGCCTGTGGCCTGGGGCTCCCGGCTGCCTGCGGGCGGTGACGCTCAGGTGCCTCTGTGCCTCCCCGAGCTGTCCTGCACCCAGGCCATGCCCAGCTCTGGATGGGCCCCGAGCTCCTGAGGTCCGCTGGGGGCTGGCGGTGGGGTGGTCACCGAGGCTGGCCACAGTGCCTCTGGCTGGGTTTTCTCTGTGACTTTGTCCCATGCCCGGCGGGTGCTGAGGGCGGCATCCCGGGCCTTTGCCGGTTCCAGCCAGGAGCTGCCCTGTCCCAGACATGGCCTAGCGTCCTCTGGTGACCAAAGGACAGCATCAGGGTGGCCTCCTGGCCCGCCGTGGGTCCCCCTCAGCTGTGGCAGGACACCAGGCCCCCAGCACACACGCGGCAGGGAGCCAGGGCCGAGGCCGAGCCGCACCGAGCCCAGATTTAGCTTCGTAGCTGCGTCTCACTGGGCGGCTCGGCCGTTCCCCTGCCCCTTGGTCAGGGGATGCTTGTGTTTTCCTCCTGCGGGGCAGGCTGAGCGGCTCGTGCTGCTGGTGCCCTGTGGCCTCCTGTCAGCTCCTGTGAGCCCATGGGACCTCTCTGGGGACCTCCCTGCGGGCCCTGGGAGACAGTGGGGGGCCCAGCCCAGCTGCCCCCCACCCCACCAGCCCGGCCACTTCCTGCCCCCAGCCGGGTGTGGCCCAGGTGGCCCCGGCCCTGCAGCCCTCCTGGCCCTCCTCCCCGCCACCCGAGGGCGCCCTCAGACTAGGTGACGAGTAGCTCCCCACGGCTCCCGCAGCCTCGCCGCTACGACCTCGAGTCCCAGCTTCTCTCCTCCGGGGCACACAGAGGCCTTGTTCTGGGAATGGGGAAACCTAAGAGGGACCGTGGCTGGAGCCCTGGTCGCCTGAGTGCTGCCCGCTGGCGAGGGGGAGCTGCAGGCCACCCCTCGTCTCCTGGAGCCGAGGACCGGGGGAGCCCCGTGTGTCTTGAGTGCATTGGTGTCGTTGTGTAGGCTCCCTCCTGGCGCGGGTGACACCCTGCTCAGCCTGGCAGGTGGCGCACTCACGGGTCCCATTCTCCCCAGAAACTCCTCCGCTCTCATGAGCCCCCTCCCAGGCCCAGGCCCGGGCCCGGGGACAGGATTGGGAGCCGCTGGGTGGCATCAGGGCAGGAGCGGTCCTCGGGCTGGGCAGGAGGGGTCATGCCAGGGCAGGGCGGGTGCTGTGGACTCCAGCGCCCTTGTCAGCCCTGAGCAGCTGGGGGTCAGGGTCCCCGTGCTGTGGCCGTGCACCTGTGTGCGTGACCCCCTGCAGCCAGCTGCTCCCGGGGCCACCACGGAGGATTTCCCTGGGGCAAGAGAACCCACAGCTGGGACCCTGGGGCCTGAGGCCGCTGTGGTGGGGGGCAGTGGGGAACGCAACACCAAGATCAGGGCGCAGCGAGCCCAAGGAGTGGGGCGTGGCTGCATTCACCGCTGAGGCTCTGCCTCCCACCCAGGGGTGCCCCAGCCTTGGGCAGGAACAGTGACAGAGTGTGGGGCCCGAGGGGCTCCTGAACCTCAGACACAAAGAGGAGCCGGGGCTCAGGAGGTGAGCGTGTAGGAGGCTGAGTCTCTAGCAGGGATCTCAGCCAGGAGAGGCCACAGGAGTCCAGGGCTTCTGCTCCCCATTAAAGACCTGGCGCAGTGGGTGAGAGTTCCCAACTGTGGCCCGTCCAGGGGGACTTAGATCTCGAGGTCCTGCAGGAGACCTCAAAGCTTCCAGCTGGGAGGACAAACGGCCTGGTGGTCCTGGATTTGGGGCTCGTCACACTGCGAGCTGCAGCCGGGCGCCAGGGCTTGCACGGCCGGGATGGAGCCGGGGCTCCCAGGTCCCCACTTCCCCAGAGGGCTTCAGGGGACATCCTCCGGCCACTGCAAGTGGAAACCACGAGAGCCTCGGGGCTGAAGAAGCCGCTCCAGGGAACGCACATCAGACCGAGGGAGTCGGATGTCAGCCAGTACCTGCCGCCCTGTGCTGGGGAAGAAAAGCAACAGGGAACTGGGGCCCGTGGCTTGTGGTGGACAGTAGACGGACACCAGGAGAAGGCTGGGGCCAGACGGCCGGACCCTCTGCGTCTGTGCCAGGAAGCGGTGGAGAGACCCGGACGGGCAGTGGAGCAGGTACAGGCAGGTGCCCGCGGGCCGAGGAGAGAGAGCCGGGCGCGGTGGTGCACACCTGTTACCCCAGCACTCAGGAGGCTGAGGCAGGAGGATCGCCTCGAATTTGAGGCCAGCCTGGACTACATGGTGAGACCCTGCCTCAAAGACAGAAATAAAAACCAGAGACGCAAGAGAGGAAGACCCTGCCTCTGGGGAGGCCTGGGCAGAGGAGGTGGCAGCCGGGCACAGCGCCCCCAGCCCCACGGATGCACCAGCCACAGCTGCTCCTTTGTGTGGTGCAGCCGCTTCTCGTAGACACAGCCAGCCCCAAACTCCGGGCCGGGGCGGGCACAGCCAGGTGGGCTGAGCGCCCGGGAGGCCCTGCTCTGCCGCCTGGAAGTGGGGTTAGGGAGGGGAGAGGCGGCTGTGTGGGGCCCGGGACACAGGCAAGTGACTGGGTCGGGACTGGGCGGGTGGAAGCGTCTGTGTGGTCCCCGAGCTGCAGGTGGGGGCCACCTCCCCTCCCTTCCCCATCAGGCCTCCCCGTGCTCCCCGCCACCCCACCTCTCATCGCACGCACCCCATGCTCCCTGCGTGTGTGACGCCCACCCTGCCTTTGCCTGCGCCCCCGGAATGCTGCACCCGCTTTTTGCTGCTGTCATCTCGTGGGCTCCACGCTGCTCCCATCGGGGGGCTCTCCGGGTTGGGGACACAGCCGCGAGCCCAGGCCACAGGGAGCAGTGACCTAGAGACGGATAGGAGGGCCGACACGGGCAGTGCCCCCAGGCCTTGGGGCCAGCGTAAGGGCTGGGCGGGCTACCGCAGGGGAGGAGGACGCTAGGGAGCTGGGCAGCAAGGCCAGGGTCCGCCGGGCCGTGCAGGGAGGCGGGTGCTGCCCTGCCCGTCTGCGCAGTCTGGAGCAGCCTGAAGGCCTCTGGCTGCCACGCTGCCACCTCCCTCTCCTCTGTCCCCTCGTCCCGGGAATGCACGGCTCAGCCAGCCTGGGGGCCTCCCTGGGCCTCCCCACCCCGTCTCGGGGTGCATCCCTGCACCAGGCGGCAGGCTGAGCCAGAGGCCCCGAGGAGCCAGGGCCAGGGGCAGGTGCCCGAGATCAGGCCCCAGAGATGCAGGGCCGGCAGTGCAGAGCGCTAGAGGAAAACGCCCTGAAATTTACCTTCTAGACAAATTAGTCTGAAGGAAGGCAGACCCTGGAGAAAGGCTGAGGAGGAGAGGAAACCCAGTCTAGAGAGGAGGAAAGAGCAGACCAAAAAGCCCGGGCTGGCGTAAGTGCACCTCGTCTCTGTCGCCAGCATTTCACGCGGCTGCCCCCCATCCCCGGCGCCCCGTGTGTCCCCACAGCCCGCCCCCAAGGGCCAGCCTGCCCGTCATTCACATGGCGTCCACGCCTGCCACCACAGCACCGCTTGACACCCACCCGCTCCCCTCTGTCCCCCAGCCCCGCCCGGGCCCCTCGTCTCCGACCCGAGGCTGTGCCTAAATGGGGGGTAGGTGGCCCCCATCCTGCTGGCACCCCGCCTGACACTCCGCCCCACCCCAGGTCCCACCGGAAGCGCTGCCAGCCCAAGAGGCCCAAGCCGGAAGACCTCAGATGTCCAGGTGAGGGGGCAGCCGGGGTGGCCCTCCTGGAGGAGGCCGCGGGCTGCGCCAAGGAGGACACCGCGCCTGACGCCGACCCCGACGAGGAGGATGAGGAGCCGGCGCAGGGCCAGGACGGCGAGGGGGCGGAGGGTGAGTCGGGCGCGGCTGCTTCCCGCTGTGTCCCCCAGCCGCCCCTGTGCCGCGTCCAGGAGTGGGGACAGCCCAGCCAGAGGCGTCCTCCACCTCCAGGACCCAGGAGCGGTGGCAGTGCCAGTGTGGCACCTGGCGGGAGCGGGTGTCTCAGAGACGTCCCCTGCCAGCCACCCGGGGCCCCATGGGCTGCGGCCGTCGCCCTGTGAGGCTCCAGGTCCCCTCAATGCCGGCCGTGGGGTTTCTTCTCCCCGGAGCTGGGCTCCGCTTCTCCATCTGCAGTCCCAGCCCCACCGTGTGCCCAGTGCCGCGCTGGTGGGAGTGATGGGGACAGGGGAGCCACAGCGGGGCCTGGGGACTCAGGTGTCCCACAGGGTAGAGCCAGAGGGGGAGCAGCTGCAGCTCACCACTCCGGGCCCCGAGTCTGCAGCTGGGAGCAGGGGCAGCCTGGCTGGCCCCGCACCGCCGTACGTGGACATGGGCGTCTGTGTAGGACAGAGCCAGTCGGGTCCAGCTGGGGTCCCGTGAGTCACAGAGGGAAGCAGGAGCAGAGTGGGGGTGCTGGCGTCAGGCTGGGGCGCAGAGGCCAGCAGGGCCCTCAGGAAGGCTCCATCTGCAGCCGCCCGGTGGCCATGCGTCGCTGCGCTGCTCAGGCACACGGCCTCTTCCCAGATGCACTCTCTGGGGTTCCCACGTGCAGACGGTCCCCGTGCGGTCACCTGCAGGGCCACCGCGGGTCCACCCGTCCCCAGGCTTGGGGCCACAGCAGTGCCTCCATAGCTGAGGCCAGCACCAAGGTGTGCAGGCGGCGGGCCCTGGCGGGCAGAGCCCTGTGAGCCCTAGCACTGACCTCGGCTGTGTGGCTCCGAGCCACACACGTTCCTCTCTGAGCCTCTCGGAGGCAGAAGCCGACTCCGGCCTCCCTGGGCTGCAGTCCAGGTGCGGCAACAGGGCGGGCAGCGCTGACTTCTGGCTCTCGGCTTGTCCCTGTCACCCTCCTGCACCACTCAGGGCTCCCTGGGCACACGGGGCCCAGCTGGCCGTCAGCCCTTCTAGGGGGCAGCACATTCTCAGGCCCTGGCATCGGGGTGGGGACATCTTTTGGGGCTGCTGCGCTGCCTGGCACCTGCCTGGCTCATGCAACACTCTGCAGAGAGCTTGCTGTCCTGGCTAGAACCTCCACATAGGCATTTGGGGGCAGGGTAGGATCCCTGCAGGGGCCAAGCAGAGGCAGGGATGGCAGACCCTGGGCACTGCAGGGCAGGGGCGGTGCGGAGTCTCTGTCCCCCCGGAGTCATTTGCACCTTGCATCTGAGTGCTCACAAACCCGAGCTTCACAGCGTGAGTCCGGAGGTCCAAGCTGGGGTTGCATTGGGTAGATAGGAGTTCTCAGAGGTGGCAGGGCCTCGAGCCTCCCAGGCAGATGTGTGGGGGCCAGATGTGAGGTGAGTGGTGGCAGCCTGGGATGCCCCCGAGGGACTGGCCAGGGACAGGGACGACAGTGGGCTGAGGTGGGCACATCCAGGCGCTCCCGGTCTCCCCTCACTGCTGTGGCTTCCCCATCTTTTGTGATCTGGCATCACGGGCTGCTGGCTGTGGGCTGACCGAGGACAGGCCCTGGCCTGGTGGCTCTGTTGGTTACAGGGGAAATAATGGCTCTCTGAGAATTCCCAGTTAATTGGCTTTTATTTATGAATCGGCCTGGACCATCAGCACCTGTTAGGGTGTAATGTCCCCCACCCCATCTCGGGCACCCCCTTCTGAGCAGCGGGAGACCCCCTGGGGGCCGCGAACCTGAGGCCCCTCTCCAGGGCCCCTCTGAGCACCCTGCCTCCCCAGGGGGTGCTGGTGGGGCCACCAAGGACGGGGCCTCTGCAGACAGGGTGGCTCTCTGCTGGGGCTGCTGGAGCCCAGTTCTTTCCTGCTGAGGCGGGCACTGCAGTGGCCCCAGCCCACCGGCCTCGCCAGGGCCCTGACCCTGGCGTATCTCGGGGGGAGCGGTGGAGCTCTGAGCAGTTTCTTGGGGGGAGGGTGCCGAGGGTCACGTGTGTGGTTTGTGTCTCCAAATGGAATGAAGCCTCCCGGGGAGATAGACCCTGGAGCTCACAGAGGCATGTGGGCTCAGGGGCCCCGAGGAGCCCAGAGCATGGGCAGGGCCAGGACCGGCCGCTGGGACTCCACCGCAACCTGTGAATGCCCAAGCCCAGCGCCTCTTGCAGCCCCCATGTGGCACCATGGAGGCAGGCGGCCTCTGTGCCAGCTCCCTGGGAGCTCGGGGCGCCACCCCAAAGGGAAGCCAGCTCCAGGCTCCCTGCTGTCGCCTCCCTCTTGGCCTCCGTCTCAGCTTTGGGAGCAGGGTAGCAGAGGCTGCCGTGTGGGGGCCCAGGCTGTGTGCATGGCAGGCTGTACCCCGTGCCTGCCATGGGGTGTGCTGCACCCCGGCTCTGGCTGGGAAGATGGGTGGGCGGGAGTGGCCCTCACCAGGACCAGAGGGACCCTGTGGGCCAGGACTGCTGGCCTGAGCAGGAACCCCAGGCCCCTCACATCCTGGGTGCCTTGGAAAGGTGCCACCCCCGGCAACCTGGGCTGAGCTGGCCCAAGCTCGGGTGGGTGCCGGTGCCGAGCCAGGGAGCTGGGTTCACCCCATCCCGGAACACCCCAGAGAGTCCCACAACGGGCCACTCACTCCTTCCCTGTGTGGGAGCCCAGTGCAGCCCTCGGCCCCCCACCCCCGTGTGACTGCCGCCCTGGGACAGGTGTCCACCCAGCACGGCCGGGGGCCGCCGCCCAGCACACTGCCTGCCTTTTAGGTCTGGGCTTCTCCCTCAGAGGTCCCGCTGTGTCCCCGCCGGCTCCTGGACCCTGCACTTTTGCTGGCTGCCCTGAACTTCAGGGGGGCTGGGGTTTTCTGGTGTGAGGATCAGGGGCGGAGGATCAGTGATAGCCTTTGCTCAGTGTGTTCCCTGCCCATGTCAGGCCCGCCATGCAGCCTGTGGCCTCCGGGGGCGTGACCTCCCGGGGCGTGGCCTGGACTTTGTCCCACAGAGCGAGCAGAGCTTGCCTTGTGCAGGCAGCAGGTGCCCGGTCCCCGCAGCCCTGGCCAGGGCTGGTGAGCTGCAGCTGTGCATGGCGGGTAGGTAGGTCAGGTGAGGGCAAGGGGATCCCTGCCCCCCCGCCCCAGTTCGCGTGCTGAGCGCCACTTGCCCGGGTGCCTGTCCTGCGTGCCCGCTCCGGGTCCCAGGACCTTGCTGGGCCCCCCGGGCTCAAATGCAGAGCTGCACAGCGTAGTGCTTTGGATGCAGGCCCCTAGTGTTTTGGGTTTGGGGCATTGTGGGCTGTGCTGGCCAAGGCTGCGGGTGTGGAATGTGGCACCCTCGCAGCAGGAAAGGCAGGGCAGCCCCCTCCCTGCCGTGGGCCCAGGAATCCTGACCGCAGCCCCTCTCCCTGCAGAGGACAGCAGGGGCAAGCCGCGGCCAGCCAAGCCCAAGGGCGAGCGGAAGAAGAGGAGTCCCGGCCCCTTCTGCCCGCAGCTGCCGCCCCAGCCCCCACCTGCGCCGTTCCCCACCGAGGAGCCCCCGAGGCTGCTGCCCCCCCTGGAGCTCCCGGCTGCCGAGGAGGGTCCCCCGCCTGCACCCCTCAACGTGGTGCCCCCTGAAGTGCCCGGTGAGGAGCAGGAGGCCAAGCCGCGGCCCATCATCCCCATGCTCTACGTGCTGCCCCGGGCGTCTGAGCGCGACCACGGGCTCCCGCAGGCCACCCCCATGGAGCTGGCGGGGCCCGAGGACGAGGCCAAGGCCCGCGGCGGCGAGGTGCAGGTAGGAATGGGGTCCCCAGGCGCTCCCCGACAGTGCGCCACAGTGAGCGGACTGCCTCGGGCTCACGAGGGCGCCGTCTGCGCTCCAGGTCCCGTCCACCTTCTCCAAGCTAAAGATGGAGATCAAGAGGAGCCGGCGCCACCCCCTGGGCCGGCCTCCCGCCAGGTCCCCACTGTCGGTGGTCAAGCAGGAGGCCTCCAGCGACGAGGGTGAGCCACGCAGCCCTTCCCTCGGCCGAGTTCCTACCCGGCCTCCGGCCGGGCCCGGGCCTCAGGACCTCAGGGGCCGGCCCGGGGACTCGGTGCCCGTGGCCCTGCGAAGCTGCCAGGACCTGCCTGCCGCCCGGCCCACAGTACTGCCGGCTCCTCCCTCGGCCGTCGCGGTGCATCTGTCCTGCGCTGTCAGCTGTGGGCAGCAGTGTGCCACCTGTTCTGAACAGAGCTGGGCAGGGCAGAGCTTGTAACTGTGGTCCCGCGGCCCCCTCCTGTCTGCAGGGTGGCCGTGTCAGGCTCATCCAGCCCAGGCCACCATGGGGCAGACCTGAGGACTCAGGAGAAGGGGTTCTGGAGTTCTAGGGGGAGCGTGGCCCTGGGGTCACCTCGTGCAGGACCCTTTCCAGAAAATATCGCCAGGGCCTCTGAGGGCAGGCAGTGCCCCACCCTGCACTGCAGGGCATTCGTGGGCGAGGCCGTGGCTCCCGGCTCCTCGGGGCTGGCCTGGGCCAAGGCGACCAGATTGCTGGGCTGGGTGTCGGGCAGGGCGGTCTCGGTCCCGAAGCACCCTCAGGCTCCCACAGGGCCCTTCCAGGACCCCAGACCCCAGGCTGTTGGGGGGCTATCTGAAGGAGGGGTGACCTCAGGAAGGAGAACTCCGCTTCTTGGCTACAGCACCCCAAGTGTGCAGGACATGTTGAGAGGCAGGGGGAGACTGGGACAGTGTCCATCTGGGAACACTGGACAGGAGGGGTGAGCTGAGCTCCAGCGACTTTAGAGGCTGCGGGCCTGACCCCTGACCCTCCCGGGCTCCCGCTGGGCCCCAGCGTCCCCATCAGGCTCGGGGACCTCGGGGACTTGCAGCCCACACTCGGTGCCCGGTGCCCGGCGCCAGGAGGGCTGTGCTGGCTCAGCCTGGGCCTCGGCAGGTGCACGGTGTGGTCCTCGGGGGACCCACAGCGTGGTGGCCGTGGTGCGGCCTGCAGGGCCGGGCTCACCCCGATGCTGCCCTTGCAGAGGCCTTGCCCTTCCCGGGCACAGGGGAGGACACGCGCGACCCCGAGGCCCTGCGGTCGCTGCTGTCTCTGCAGCGGAAGAACAAGACGGCCGGCTTCCAGGCCGAGCGCAAGTTCAACGCGGCGGCTGCCCTGGCCGAGCCCCACTGCGCCATCTGCAGCCTCTTCTACCCCTACAGCCAGGTGGGCGCTGCTGCCGGGCCGCGGGCGCCCTCTCGGCAGAGCCCCAGCCCTGTCCTGCACCGGCTCCCTCCTTCCTATCGCCGGGGCTGAGAACCAGGCTCTGCTCCCGGGTGCCCTCTGCTCACTCCTCCCCTTTTTAAAACTTTTTGAGGGAAGATCTAAGTTGTCTGGGCTGGGCTCCAACTTGGGGTTCTCCTGCCTCAGTTTCCCCCCCCCCCGGTTGCTGTGGTGATGGGTGTGCACCCGTGTGCGGTCTGCCTGCCCTGCCCCTTCATCCCTTGCACCCTCCCCAGGTCTCTGCACCCCCCGGGCCAGGACCGAGTGTCATGCTTGTCCCCAGCCCTGGGAGTCAGGGTGGGGACGTGTCTGTGTGTCTGTGTGTCTGTGTGGCCGTCCCTAAGGCCCTGCCGCTCTGGAGACAAAGCAGACGCCACTCCCCGACGGCCCTCAGCAGGCTGTGCCCACTGCACACTGGGGAGCGCGGCAGCTGCTGGGGTGGGATCAGGGCCAGGGCACTGCCACCACACGGGGATGCGGGCCTGCCGGGCACCACGGGTGTACGTGGCCCCTGCAGCGTCTGTCCAGGCCTGGGAGGGGCGTGCGGCGCCTGAGCGGGCTGTGGGCCTCTGCCCTCCTGAGGGTCGCCCTGTGCCCACAGTCCCTGCAGGTAGAGAAGGAGAGGCCCTTGGCCTCCGTCCTCGAGGGCCCCTCAGCCCCGCCACCCTCCAAGTGCGGCCAGAGGACGCGACCGCTCATCCCCGAGATGTGCTTCACCTCCAGCGGGGAGAACACCGAGCCGCTGCCCGCCAACTCCTGTGTGGGTGACGATGGCACCAGCCCACTGATCGCCTGTGCCAAGTGCTGCCTGCAGGTCCACGCCAGTGCGTGCGCCAGCGGGGGAGGGGCCCGGGGGGGCGAGGGCGGGGGAGGTTCGGGCCCCAGCACGGCCTCCCCACCACCCTGACCTGGCGCTGGGCTGGGCACAGGCGGGAAGGTTGGCACAGGCTTGAGACAGGACTGAGCGTCAGGACAGAGCGGCGGCCCCGGAGCGCTCCCGCGCCTCACCCAGAGCCTGCAGGAGCTCTGGCTCCCCCCAGGGCCTGGGTTTGACCCTGCTCAGCGGCAGGTGGGCCGCAAGGTGCAGGTGTCTCCCCTGCATTGCAGGGGTGCTCCCACCGCAGCCCCACCCTCCACCCCGCCCCGTCTCCAGCATCCACTCCAGGCCCAGGGTCAGGAGCTGGGCAGCGGCCAGCAGGGCCCAGCCTCAGCGCTCTCTGTCTCGCAGGCTGCTACGGCGTGCGCCCGGAGCTGGTCAAGGAAGGCTGGACGTGTTCCCGGTGCGCAGCGCACGCCTGGACAGCGGTAACCCGGCCTCCGCGCGGGGAGGGTGGGCCTGCCTCGGTTTCCCCGCGTGCTCGGCGCTCACCGCCTCTCCCCGCAGGAGTGCTGCCTGTGCAACCTCCGGGGCGGCGCGCTGCAGACAACCACCGACCGGAGGTGGGTGCGGGCCGGTGCCGGGGCGGGGTGCGGGTGGGGTCGGCCGTGTCCTTAGAGCCCCTCCGCCCGGCCCCAGGTGGATCCACATCATCTGCGCCATCGCGGTCCCCGAGGTGCGGTTCCTGAACGTGATCGAGCGCCACCCGGTGGACATCAGCGGCATCCCCGAGCAGCGGTGGAAGCTGGTAGGTCCCGATTCCTCCCGGGGCACCCGGGCCTGCGGGGCTGGCGCTGGAGCTTCTGGGCGCCCCCGAAGGCGCCAGGTAGAGGCCAGGGGTGCACAGCCACAGGGCCAGCAGCGCGCTGTCCTCCTCGTCCTCCGCCCTGTGTGTTCGCCTGGCGGGAGTCCGGTGCGTGGCCTTCGTTGTGGTGCACGGTGGGCAGGCGGCCCCACTGCGCAGCAGGCCCGGCCTTTCAGTTTTATCCTGAGGCGGGTTTCCCCAGGCCCCGGGGCTGGCTGCCGCTTGGCGCCCTTCTGCCTCGGCCTTGTGGGCGGCTGGCGGACAGGCCCGGGGCGGTGCCCAGAGATCGCCCTCCTCTTGCGGGCCGGCATCTTGGCCCAGGTGGGGCGCTCCTTCTTGCTGTGTTCCTCAGCCGACTGGCTCTTGGGGCATCTCCGCGATGGGCTGTGCTGTAGGGTCCCGGGGGCAGCCTGGTGGGCGAAGGGCTGCCAGCAGCGGGGCCGCGGGGCTCGCGTCCCTGTGTCCGGGCCCCTGCTCCGCCCGTCCTCTCTGAGGGACGCTCCAGGAGCCACCGCACCGTCCCAGCGCAGCTGAGAGTTGCCCTCCCCAGGGGCAGTGTTGTGGCGAGCCTTGCATGCTTCTGTCGCCTGTCTGCGTCTCTCTGGTCCCTCGTCCTCCCTCACGGGGCCAGCGGCCGGTCCCTGCGGGCGGCCCGAGGAGCAGGCGCCATGGCTGGTGTCCGGTGGGTGGGAACTGCCCACTCTGAGCCCACAGCTGCGGGCGCCCTGGGTGGGCTGTGCCCATCGCCGCAGGTGACGCCTGGACTCGGGGCAGAGCCGCAGTCCCCAGATGTGGGGTAAAAGGCCTCATTATTCAGGGGAGGGATGCTGCCGTGTGGGCGCCGGTAAATCCTCCCTCCCAGACGCTCTGTGGATCGGCTGACGTTTCCAGCAAGCAGCCTGTTCGGCCAGAGCACTTGTAAAGATGAATTGAAAATCCCGGTACCGGGCCTGTGTGTCCCTCCTAATGGGGCCGGGTGGGAAGCACGTTTAACTCCTGCTGCCCGGCCTGCTTGTCCAGGGTGGGAGCCCTCCCCAGGCCCTGGGGACGATGGCCCGTCGCATCCCGGCATCCCCGATGTACTCTGGGAAACCGGAGGTCCTGGATGAGGCTGGGGTGGGGTGGAGCCCCCCACGTCTGCTCTGTCCAGCCTTGGGGGGAGCACAGGCCAGAAGGGCTCATGGAATGCTGGGCACAGTGGCCTTTGGGGGTGCCGTGTGTGTGCCCAGCGTGCAGCAGGGACCAGGCCTCCAAGCCGAGGCTGCCAGGCTTCTTGCCGGACCTCAGCGCCGCCCCCTGCCCTGGTCTGGGTGGCCCGGGGACTGATGGTCTCCTAATGAGACCTCATTACTATTGATCCACCGAGCCGCCCACTACGGCCCATCGGGGCTGCTCTGGCCTTTGAGCACGGTTTGCAGAGCGACACGGCTGCTTATTAAATGCTCAAGGCGACTGCAGGCACAGCCTGTGTGGCAGCCACCTCAGCGTGCCTCGGGTTCCCCAGGGGAAGCCCCCTGTCCCATGAGGTGACTCCCCTCCCCTCCCAGTCCTGTGTCCACTCCCGTCTCTGGGCACCTGTCCTGGGCATCCTGCCCTGAGCCCAGCAGCTCTGTGTCCGGCATCGCTCGAGGTCCCCCCACGCTGTGACAGACACACGGCCGCTCTCCTGTGCTGTGCTCCTGGCACGGAGGGCCTGCCGTGTCTGGTCACCCTCAGTGGTGCTGGCGTGTCCACCCCTGCCTCCCTGGGTCCCCTTTCCCGGCCTGTTCTCGGGCTGGGTGGACGGCAGGGCGGCGTGGGGGCTGCGGGGCGGGAGCCGGGTCCACCGAGCGCTGTGCCCCGCAGAAGTGCGTGTACTGCCGCAAGCGGATGAAGCGGGTGTCTGGGGCCTGCGTCCAGTGCTCCTCCGAGCGCTGCTCCACCTCCTTCCACGTGACCTGCGCGCGCGCTGCCGGGGTACTGCTGGAGCCCGACGACTGGCCCTACGCCGTGGCCATCACCTGCCTCAAGCACCGGGCCGGCGGCCACGCCGTGAGTGTCCCCGCCCCGCCCCGCCCCGCCCTGCCCGCCTCCCGTGCCGCGTCGCGTGCCGCTGACCTCCGCTGCCCACCCCTGCAGGCGCAGGCGCTCCGGGCGGTGGCCCTCGGCCAGGTGGTCATCACCAAGAACCGCAACGGCCTCTACTACCGCTGCCGGGTCATCGGCACCACCACGCAGGTCTTCTACGAGGTGAACTTCGATGACGGCTCCTACAGCGACAACCTGTACCCCGAGAGCATCACGGTGCGCGGCCGGCGGCGGGGCGGGTGCCCGGCGGGCCTCTCCCGGGCTGCGGCGCAGGGCCTGGTGTCGCTGGGCGGCCGCTCAGTCCCCGCGCTGTGTCCACAGAGCAGAGACTGCGTGCGGCTGGGGGCCCCGGCCGAGGGCGAGCTCGTGGAGCTGCGGTGGACGGACGGCAACATCTACAAGGCCAGGTTCATCTCCTCCGTGACCAGCCACATCTACCAGGTGAGGCCCGCGTGGCCTGACGTCACTGTCCTGAGCCCTGAACCCGCACCCGCCCCGTCCAGGGCAGCTGTGGTGGGTGCTGCAGCAGCACTGCTGGGTGTCCCTGTCCTGGGCAGGTGGCCACTGCTCCCCACACGCAGGACCGAGCAGGACAGGCAGGGAAGGGGTCTCAGAGGACCCCGCGTGGTGAGCGATCTGCAGTCAGGCCCCGCGAGGCTCAGGGCGCCCTGCGTCCCCAGCCCCGCTGCTGCAGGGGACAGCAGCCGAGACACTGCCAGCCCGCCACACACAGACGGGTGAAGACGTGAGCAGAAACGAGGGCAGAGCCTCGGTGCCATCTGGGCTTCAGGGACAAAAGCCAGACCCGGGGCGTCCACAGGGGTGGGGAACAGCACCCTGGAAGGGAACCCATGGTGCTACCCCGCAGTGTGTCCCCAAGGAGCCAAGGCACCCCGAGGCCCTGGGCCGGCTGTGTCACCAGACACTCCCCCGGCCAGTGGCAGGCGGGGACGCGGCACTGCCCGAGGGAGATGTGCGGTGCGCAGAGGCAGGGCTGCCGGGGTCTCTGCACCCCTCTGCGCGCTGGGGGGATGGGCTGGGGGCTGTGCGGGCCCTGGCTGGGCCGGGCTGGTGGGCCGCTGGGGCCTCCTGCAGTGTCAGGGTGGCCGGGCTGGCTCAGAAGGTGGAGGACACTGCCTGGACACGGCCAGCCTCGGGCACGCAGCCGGCACCCCCAGGGCTCCTTCCCCGCCGAGCCTGGCTGCCCCCGCCCCGCCCTGTGGCCGGCTGCAGACGTCCAGCTTGTCACTGACCTCGCTGAAGAGCTGAGCAGAGGGACCTTGGGGCTCGGAAGTGACCTGGGCACGGTGTCCCCTGGCAGGTGGAGTTCGAGGACGGGTCCCAGCTGACCGTGAAGCGCAGTGACATCTTCACCCTGGAGGAGGAGCTGCCCAAGAGGGTGCGGTCCCGGCTGGTGAGTCCCCGGCTACCGGGCAGCACGGTGTCACCAGCCCCTCCGGCTCTGCCGTCAGGCTGGGAGCAGCGTACGCGGGTCCCTGCCACAGTGTGTGAGGCCTGGAGGGTGGGCGCGGAGGGGCGAGGGTCCCTGGGGGCCAGTGTGGCCTCTGGGCGCGCTGGGCGGGGTCAGCATGCCGAGGGGAGCCTGCCACGCTGACCGCGTGTCCCTCGGTCTCTGCAGTCGCTGAGCACAGGGGCTCCCCAGGAAGCCGCCTTCGCGGGTGAGGAGGTGAAGGCTGCCAAGCGCCCGCGGGTGGGCGCCCCGCTGGCCACCGCCGCCCCTGCCACCCAGGACTCAGGGCACAGCCCAGACTGCCCTGCCTTCGCCGAGAGCCTGCTGCCGGCGCAGGTGCAGGCCCGGCCCGGGGCGCCCTTCTAGGACGCGGCTCCGGCCTCCTCCGCCCCTCGGGGCAGGCGCCATCAGGGTCTCCTGGGCCGAGGCCGCTCGCGCCTCGGGCGCCCCCTGCCGGGGGGCAGGAGCAAGGACAGCGCGGCCTGGACTCAGGGAGCAGGGCCCCAGGCCCGCCGCCCGCACCTCCGATCAGACCCGCGGCCTGTCCCCCTCACGGTGCTACCGCCCTGCCCACCGAGCAGCCTCAGGACGGGCTGTGTGCACAGCCGCCTTTGTGAAGTTCTTTCTATAAATACGACGTATTGTTTAAAAAATCAAGAAACACGGAAACGGCAGCAGAAGCCCCCAAAGTTGTTTTTTCTCTTCTAGATTTGTGGCTTTAAAACCAATGCATTTTTTTCCTGCAGCCCTGAGGTGCCGGGGATGAGGTCCCCAAGTCACTGTCTGTGTTTGTTTAAGAGCCCATCTGCAGCCGGGCGCGGTGGCGCACGCCTGTCATCCCAGCACTCGGGAGGCCAAGGCAGGAGGATCAGTGCAAGTTCGAGGTCAGCCGGGGCCACCAAGTGAGCTCAAGGCCGGCCTGGACCGCACCGGGAGGCCCTGCCTCAGAAAGACAAAAACAAAACCCCACCGGCCGCTGAGCAGGCCAAGGGGAGCCCTGTGCCACCGTGTCCAAGAGACTCGGAAACCTGGGGACCAGAGGGGCAGGGCGCTGGACAGCGGCCACGGCCACCTCGCTGCCACCCAGTTCCCGCTGCTGCCTACCTGTGGGTGCCTGTGCCCGCGCCCTGCACGGTGGTGGTCCCCAGGGCCGCCCTGGCCTGTGCAGACCTTTGCAAATGGACGGCCCCGGTCGCCCCATTTCTGTTCCTGCCGTCTCTCCCTGGCCGAGCGCGTGACGGGTGACTGTGTACGTGGCCGGGCCCCGCGCCCTGTCAGTGTGGCGGCATCAGGTCCCAGGAGGACAGGACACAGGTCGGCTGGCCCCGGAGGCGCCCAGGTCTGTGTGCGCCAGACACAGACGCAGCTCACTGTCCGGAACCCTGTGCTCGCCTGTGTCGTCGTGGTGACCTGGGAGGCCGTGTCGGAGAGAAGGCGGGAGCCCCGGACGGCACCGAGCGCCCCAAGAGCCGGGTGGAGGCCCCGGGGTGGCGCCCGCCCTTGGCCTGCTCGGGGACGGGGGACCAGGGGACGCCGGCCGGCCCGTGTAAGGAGCGCTCGCCTCGTGGCCGGTGGCCGCTGGGAGGAGAGGACTGCAGCCCCGGCGGGTGCCCGCCGAGCTGTCCGTGCATGCAGCCACTGCCCGCATGGAGCCGTCGCTGCCCCGTGTGTCCGGAACGCTATTTATATTGTGAGGGAAGAGGCGGGCAGCGCAGCTTCCCGGAGACCCGCTGTGCCCTGACCGTGTGGACAGGACGGTCCCCGTCCCTGCCTGGGACGGACAGACGGACGCGCTGCATCTTTGCCCAACCTTCCTGCCTCGAGGTCCACGATAAATTAAAGGCTCTGAGCACTGCAGCCTTGCGCAGCCTCGCCCGAAGTGTCTTCATTTCTTCTACCCCTAGAGGGGACGTGGGGGGCAGTGGGGGGCAGAAGGTGGCTCCCAGAGGGCGGGGTGGGCTGGGCTGCTCCGAGGGTGCTGGCTGGACCCAACACTCACTCCTCCTGGCCCAGCTGTGTCCCACCCCATCCTATCCCATCCCGCGTTCTCTTCCTGTTCCGGTTCTGGTTCCGACCCCTGGAGTGCAGCTCAGACCCCAGTACCCAGCCCGTGCCTGCCGTGGCTGGCACTCAGGAGTCACAAGGTGCCAGAGCCGAGGGAAGGTGGAGATCGGCAGTGAGGAGAGCAGGCGCTGCCAGGGCCGCTGCTGCAGTTCCCACAGGGAGACGCAGGAGGTGTGCGAGGAGCCATGCAAAGGCCCTGGGGCAACAAAGCTGGGAGAGGTGCAGGAGCAGGGGAGGAGGGGTGGAGAGGACGACTCCGGCTCTGGCCCAGGCAGAGGGGAGCCGCACAGGGCCGAGGAGAGAGGACCGGACTCTGCTCGCAGCACCCTCTGCCTGCAGTGGGTGTTGAGGCCAGGTGGGAGCGGAAGCCAGGGAGATGGAGGCCGCGGGGCTGGGCCAGGTGTGCTTGGGGGCAGTGCCAGTGCGTGAGCTCTGCTGACAACCGGCTGGGCAGGGACGCGGGGCTCGCCGGCGGCCCTGCGAGCAGACGCAGCCCCAGGTGGCGAAGGGACCCCAGAGCTGTGGTCAGCAGGGCCGGACCCCGAGGAGCTGGTCACGGGCCGTGACCCGTGGGACTCCAGCTGAGGGCTGACCCTCCCGGGCCTCAGTTTCCCCTGCCTGCTCTGTCCTTTGAGCCAAGATTTCCCTTTGCCCCACTTCTGAGTGTAAGAAGCAGACTCAGTTTCTCCGTCTTCTGCAAGGAGTGGGGTGATCGTGTCCCGGCCGTGGGCCACTGGGCCAGGCCGCAGGCTGTGCTGGACACCATGGCGGGAAGAGGCAGCGGCCCAAGATCCGGACTCTGCCCCGAAGGGCTGGCCCTGCGCTCAGCCCGGGGAGAGACTGGGGTGCAGCCACTGCTCAGCAGTGCGGACACAGCTGCTGGCCACCAGGGCCTGGGGCTCCACACCGGCCATTGGCCCTGCGTCTCCTCGGAGCTCAGGCCGGGCTCTGGGGCAGCAGCTGCAGGAAGGGGAGCTCCCCCAAAACACAGCTGCCACGCGGGGCCTGCAGAAGAGAAGGGGCAGAGATGGAGGCGGGCGGGGTGCAGCTCCGAGGGCACCAGGGCCCTCGGCTGTGGGTAAGCGGGGCTGAGTTCAAAGTTCCCGAGGGGGCACCCCACGCCCCACAGTCCGCACGTCCCTGCCTCATTTGATAAAGTTTCCCTGGTGCCCGGCGGCCGAGACCTGCAAAGCTGAGTGCGTCTCACATCTGACCCCTCGCAGGCAGGAAGCAGTGCACGTCCCTGGGCTGGAGGGAGCGGGAGGGGTGGCCTCCGCCATGACAAACTGCCCTGCGTGGGGCAGCCCCCGCCCCTCAGGGCTCCCAGGCCCAGGGAGGCCACCCTGACTCTCCTTCCTGGGGGCCGTGGCCTCCACCCTTGGGCCCACGGAGCTGGGCAGCCGGTCCCTGCAAAGCACCGTCCCCTCACTGACAGCAGGGGAGGGTTGTTTATGGATTAGATTACTTCACACTTCTGCTCTGTTAATGGGAAAAATAAGAATTCTTTGCCACCACCGGGCGGGGAGTGGGGGGACACACACAGCCTGCAGCATGGCCAGTGGCAACGTCTCGGTGCTTGCCGGAGCACCGTCCATCCTGAGCCGCTCTCGGGGTGACAGCGAGAATGTCCCCTCCCTGCTGTGGCTTCTGAGGCTTGGAGGAAGACTTTCCCGCCCTGGCCCTGGCCCTGTTGGCTCTGCAGATGTCACCGGGGCCCCTGCAGCTGGTGTGTGACACCCGCCCTGCCCGCCGAGGTCCCCGCTGGCCCCAGGTGCATCCCATGCCGTGAAGGACCCTCGCTGGGGGCTGAAACCTCCCGCGTCCTGGAGGCTGCGTGCGGGTCCACGGTCTCCTCTGAGACGCGGGGCAAAGGCTTAGCTGTGAGCCCCTATGCAAATAAAAAGACACACAAAGGCCCTGTCCTACCAGGGAGTGACCCGGGCCAGGCTGTGGGCTGGGCAGCCTGCCCCTCGGCGTCACTGGTGGCAGCCTGCGTGGCCTCTCTCGTGGGCTGGCTCTGCTCCCGGCCTGCCCTCCGCCCGCCTGCCGTTCCCAGCTCTGGCCTCCGGGGTCTGCACTGTACCTCTGGCTTCAGTCTCAGATCTTCAAGCGTTGCCCTCTGGGCAGGGACTGTGACCCGCCACACATCTCTGCCTGGTCTCCAGGCCTCCGGCTGCAACCCGGGTGGAAGGCTCCCTGACCCTGCAAGTCCTGCGGTCTGCACTCCCGAAAATTGACCAGCACCCCGGGGATGACACCGAGGTCCAGTGCTGGCTTGAGCAGGGGCCAGACCTCCTCAGACCACGGATGCAGCGGCCTCCAAGACCCTGGATGGCTGAACTCAGGAAATGTGTCTGTAGGTGACCCTGAGAGAGCATTCAGCCACCACACACTCCTCGGGTCCAACTAAAGCGTCCGAGTCTGGCCTTTCCTGGCCAAATTCCTATCAGCATTCCGGTCCTCCGAGCTCCGACCAGATTCACCCATCAGGCTGGGTTTCAGCTTCTGGAGCTTCAGCAGCTGGCATCCCCAAATCATGCCAAAGTCCCCCCACAAACGAGGTCCAAAGGCTCCTGAACCACCGGGTCAGGTTCCGGCACACAGCCATCCCGTCTCTGACACCAAGTCTTACTGGGACGTAATGGCTGACGCCCACCCAAAGGAGGATGCCAGGCACTGGCAGCCCCACCCCCACCACTGCGCCCTCACCCACCCCACAGCGGGCGCCTGCCCCCCACTGACTTCCCAGCCCGGTCCGCCCTTGTGAATGCAGGGCCAGGAGCTGGGGACAGAGTTTCCTGCCCCACAGAGAACACGCCCCGTGGAAGACAGGAATGTCAGGTTTCCCGGGACCAGGGCTTCAGAAGCTGGGCACGGCGGTGCACACCAGTGACCCCAGCGACTTGGGAGGCTGAGGCAGGAGGACCACCGTGAGTTTGAGGCCAGACTGGACTACACGACCCAGTCAAAAGTATTGCTACAGCAGAAACAGCATGAGTGCCCTCCACGCCACCCTCTGGGCCGGGATTCAGCCGCAGCACCTGCGGGCAGTACGGGATCCAGAGTCCGGCTCCTGGCGTGGCTCCCTCGGTTCCCGCAGCCCTGACCATCACCTCGCCGCCTTCCGCAGCAGCTCTGCACCCTCCGTCCTGAGGGTCTCTGGCCTCGCTGTCCCAGCCGCTTGATGTCCTGCAGGGACCCCAAACGTCTCCCTCGCGCGGGCATCTTGACTTGGGAGGAGCCGGAAGTCACGTGGCACCAGATCCAGTGACGTCATGCTTTTCCGCGCTGCCTTTTCATTGGCTGGCGCTGGGCAGCGGCGGTCACGGTTCCGATCACGGCCAATCACGTCGTGACTCTCAGCAAAGAGGATTCCAGAGCTCTGCAGAAAGCAGTCAGGATGGTGAGGTCGCGGGTTCAAAGCCAGGGGAAGGCTTGGGCAGGGCTTCGTGGCTGTGTGTCTTTTACCATAATACATTTGTAATCTTTTTTTTTTTTTTGTCTTTTTGAGTCAGGGTCTCTCTATGCAGTTCAGGCTGGTTTTGAGCAGTGTAGCCCAGGCTGGCCTGGAACTCACAACGACCCTCCTGCCTCAGCCTCCTGAGTGTGGGGTGACAGGTGTTCTCCACTGCACCCAGCTGTCAGTCTCTTAACTCTTACCTTTCCAGGGAAGAGCAAAGGCCACACCTGCCCTGCCTGCTTACGGAAAGGCTGTACTGCCCAGGGCCAGGACTGCACCCTGCCTACCCCAGTCCGCTGTCCACCTTCAGATGTGGGTCCCAGTACCTGCACGTCCCTGCTGAGACTCCCTGGATGCAGCCAGCACTCAGGACTAAATTAATAATTGGTTACTGATCCCTGGGTTCTGTCCCTAGCAACACACACACACACACACACACACACACACTATATGCCCAGCCAAGGTGGCACATGCCTGTAATCCTGGCATTCAAGAGGCTGAGGCATGAGGATCCCTAAAAGCTCAAGGCCAGGTAGGCTACAGAGCGAAACTCTGGCTGAAAAGAAAACATCACACAAAGAGCTGAGCACGCAGCTGCATGTGAGCAGACACACAAACCCAGAAGCTGAGATGATAAATGCACTCCCACATCTTGGGCCAATTTGTTACCCAGCATTAAATAACCCATGCAATACATGAATATTTCCCCTACAAAATGAGGATCATTTGGTGGTAGCTGTTTTTCTGAGCTGCCTCCGTCACTCAGGTTGAGACTGTGGTTGGTTATTTTTCATATCATGAAATATTCATGCTCCAAATTTGAGTGCTGTGGACTATCTTCACAGTTTATAATTGCGGCTAGTTTTCATGCTGTGGCATCCACATGTCTTTGGTTGTGTGGTTTGATAAGGGTGACAGATGTAGTGCCTTGAGGAGCAGAAACAAGACACGAGGTGCAGCCTACCTGCAGAGTAGGCCAGCACCAACCTCCTCACTCACAGGAGGCGGCCCATGTGTTTTCTGTCCCTGTGGGTTAACATGGTCCATCCTACCACTTTGTGTAAATTGAATCGTGCAAAAAGTAGTCCTCGGTGTCTGGCTTTTTTCCTTTGGTACAAAGTCCTTGAGATGTGATGATATCCTCTGTGTGTTCCTACAGCACAATCATTTTTGTGACTGTATAGTATTCCGTCCTGCAGGTCACCCACAGCTTACTGATGCATTCACTGATGGGCATCAGCGGTCTGGGCTCACGGGAAAGGCTTTTGGAAGAGGACCAGGTCACAGGGAGCCACAGCTGACCTGTTAGGAGGTGGGTCACTGTGGGTGTGAC